ATTCCTGGGAGGAGTGAAAGCAAGTCCGCGGGGAGGGGCGCGAACTGGTGGGGATGGGGAGGCGCCGTTGGGTGAGGATGGGGAGGGGGGAGGGGGGCGGTCGGGATGGGGACGAGAGTCGGGGTTGGGGTTGGGGTTGGGGTGGGCAAGCGGGGGAGGGGGTGGGACAGAGACAGCGTGTGTGAGAGGTAGGAGGGGAGCGCGGTGGTCGAGTGCGAGTGGGGTGGGGGTGAGGGAGGGAGGTGTATGCGCCCGGAGTGGGAGGAGGAGGGGGATGATATACCTCCCTGTGTGCGGTGAGCGCCCTTTCCCCCCCATCCCTTGCGTCCCTACCCCCTCCTACCCTCCCGTCCCTACCCCCAGCTTCGGCCCCAGGCTGCCACGCTCATCCCTGAGGGAAGGGAAGCACGACGCCCAAAGCGCAGGCGCACGGGTGCGGATGGCCAAGCGCAAGCGAGAAAGGGCCCGCCCAGCCCTGCCGCGTAATAGGGGACCAGGCCCTGGACTGGATGCCTCCGCTAGAGTGGCCGCCACCTGCCGGAGAGACATGCGCTTTTTGGGAAGGGCTCCCGGGGGCCCGAGGTGCTGACTGGACAAGACTGGCCCGGTACGGCAGCGGCAGCGGCAGCGGCGGCGGTGCCGACCACCACAGAAACGGCAAGAAGCGCCGATGATTCCTCCCGTTTCCAAGATCTGTATACAGTATGCCCCGGCCGCCGCCACCGCACCGTGACCGGACGCGGAAGAGCTTGTGCCGATCAGGTACCGCTGGGCCCCCTGAAGCTTGCTCCTGGCCTGGCGGCTCGCCTCCCTACAGGCCCAGCCGGCCCACCTATCGTACACAGAGGGACCAGAGGGACCAGAAAGGGACCAGACGGAAACCGTCAGGGCTGGATCGGGCTCTTGCCGCGTCCCAGTGTCCGTCTCGCACTTCTTCCTTCCCTGCTAAATTTCCTCCCTTAATGGTGGAGCGCCGCGCGCCAGCGCGGCTCGCGTCCACGCTGCGTATTCGCTTTGGGATTTTCGTAATTTGAGCTGTTGACGGGGATCGTTGGCTGATGGAGGATATGGGCCACGTGCGATATACTTCATGCCCAGGTTGGGCAATACAGTACAGTACGGATACCCCGTGCATGGACCCCAGGAAGCGTTCTAAGACGAGCGGGGTGCAGAGGTTACAGTTTTCAGCGTGTTCAGTGTGGAACGTAGCGACTGATCATGACGATGGGCGGCTCCGGTGCTTCGGGCGTGCTCCCGGGAGAAGGGAAGGTACTAGTAGAGCCGGATGGGAAGGGTAGCGTGGGGAAGGGACAGGAAAGGAAGCCGAAGGGCTGCATCCCCAGGCTCCCACATCACTCCATCAGACGACGAAGTTGAGTGTACACGTAGATCAACGACAAACGCCTCCAATCGTCATATATATCGGCCCACCTCCTACTCTCCCTCCTTCAGCAGCGCTTTCAGCTTGTTGTTCTGCGCTTCCAGCTGCTCCAGCTTCTTTTCGTTCTGCTGGATCTTCTTGATCAGGTAGTGCGCCCGAGCTTCCAGTCCACTGGGCTCAATCCACCCCTTCCCTGTGTCCAAGCCGATGTTCGTGAGAGTATCGAGCTCCTGTTCTGCAGATTTGATGGTGGACTCTGCGCCGGCTATCGCCCTCTCGTTGAAGGCAATGTCTTGCATTGCCGCAAAGGTTTTGTCTAGCACAGGGTTTGAGAACAGGTGAGGGATTGTCAAAGGCTCGACTCACCGTCCGTCAGTCGCTGGAAGACGGAATAGTACACTGGCTTTCCAGCCCGGATTGAATTTGGTCGACCTGCTAGTTGATGAGTAGAATTTCCAGGAGATGTGAAACTGTGCTTGCCGTTAAGTTGGGTGATGCTGATGAACTCGTCATGCTCGAGTTCGCGCAAGGCCGTTTCGTCACCCTTGAATGGATATTCGAGCAAGACATCCGCGTATGGCACTTCCTCCTCCTTCGCCAGACGTTTGAAGATGCCCCAGGCCTGCTCCGGCCGCCAAGGAAGGTTCTTGGCGTCCTCGGCATCGTCACCGAATGCATTCTTCCGCACTTCGGAAACGTTTCGGGAGATCATATCTTCGACTGCATCGGAGATAGTTAGTCCGTTGCGGACCTTGTAGACGAACTGGAGCAGCATCAATTTCACGACCTCGGAGGGGTGGGATAGACAGTCACTTACATGTTCGAGGTCGGTCAATCGGCCACCCAATCTCCGGACCTCCTCACAGTCCTGAGCCGACAATCCATCCTGCATCCCAGCCTCTTTCAGCTTCTCGGTGACGAAACCGAGCGCGCTCTCCGCAGTCGCATCCGTCAACGCGATCGTCGTTATTGGCTTGGACGGCAGAGCTAACGGACGTCAGAAGCAATCTCGAGTAAGGACTGCCATACGCACCTCTCGCGAGATTCTTCGGCGCGCCCGGATTATCCGAGACAAAGATCACCTGCGCAACCTTATTCTCCACCAACGCCGCGGCCCACGCAGATAGCACCTCCCAGAGCTCGTCCTTCTTCGCTCCTTTCAGGGCCCAGTTCTTCATCACAACCACGGGCAAGGAAGTGATATCCTCCTTCTCTTCCTCGAGCTTCTTTTGCACCTCCCCTTCCACAGGCTCCGCAGGCGCCGCCACCACTCGGGTACTTGCATCACTTTCCTTGACAGCATCGTAGTCCGCCTCCGTCATGAGCTCATCCCCTATGCCCAGCTCGGACATGATGCCATTCCCGGCCACGCAGTCGAGCCGCCCGTCATGCCAAACACCGAGGCGGATGAGCTCGGCCCGCTCCTCCTCCTGCCGCTTTTCGGCAGCCTCGTTCTTGGCGAACTCCTCCCGCCTAGCAACTTGCGCTTTGTGGTGTTTCGAGACGCCTTCAAGGCCCTTGCCGACGACCTCGAGAACTTGCTTAAGCTGTTCTTGGATGGAGGTGCTGAACCCTGCCTTCTGCCCAATGAGACCGACGCTGGCGAGGTCGAGCAGGTTGTTGAGGGAAGAGAGCATGGAGAAGACAGGCCAGTAGCCGGTCTGTTTCGCGAGCTCGGAGAGGAGCGCCGCGTCAGAGCTCGCTTTGCACAGCTCGGCACAGTCGATCGTTAAGGCGTGGCGATTACCGGTCGATAGCGCATGTGACAACATGACGCCCTTGCCGCTTCCCTCGGGGCCAGTCACGAGAGCAAAGTTCGCTGGAAAGGTATCAGCACTCCTGCGCAGCTGCTGAAAAGATGAAGAACTCACATGGCTGGTAAGCAAGGAAAGTGGTGATATCACGCGCCGCATCCTGCCGCTCCCGCCAAGCGCTACTTGCACTGGGTAAGGGTGTCGCTGCGGCTGATGGGTCGAACGACAGCCGCTCGATCGTGTTACGCTTCAGCCACCGGAACGCTGAATAGTCTGGTGGTCGTCAATGAACGCTCTAGCGAAAACAAAACGCATATACTTCGGTAGTCAAACCAGTCCAAGACCTTGGCTTCGACGAACCATGCACGGACAGGGTCGAAGATCTATGAATGCGTCAGCGCAAGAGTGGCGATAGCAGGGATATCATCGTACGGTGTATGTCAACGTGGCCAAGAGAAAAGCGGCAACCGGAAGGACGATCCGCGGGTGGTTGGTGATCCAGTCCATGATCAGGTGATCCTTGAGCGCCTTCTCGTAAACGATCCTGAGCCTTGTGAGCTTCCCATCCGGTGGTATGGCATGGATGGCGCCCAGATCATGGGCATGCGGCGCCACGGCGACGCCGTGCAAGCAGTTGCGGGCGATTGCCGCGCTGCGGGTGGCCGTGAAGCGTACGATGGAGGAGCGGAGGGTTCCAGCCGGGACAGGGACGGGGGTGGTTATGTCCGCTATACGACCGTAGGGCTACGTCACGTCAGCACTGGCGAACGGAGTCGTTGAGAGTATACGTACGCGGAGGATATCATAAAGAGACTCGTGGTCAACATCGGGTCCGTCGAACTCGACCTTGAGCTGCGGGCTTGGGAACCGATACAAGTCCTGTCACCCAAGTCAGAGCGCATTCATACGCAGACTGCACCAATATGCGCACCTCTCGCCACGGCTTCCCCCTGACCAACCACACATGCCCGGTCCCGTACCTCTTCCAAGTGGGCAGCCCGCCCTTCTTCTCCACTTCCGCCCTCAACCCCTCCTCAATCTCCTTCAACCTCGCAAAGTCGCCCGTCCCCTGTATAGGCGGAGCAGGCGGCGAAGTACCCGGTGCGCCCGTTGCTGTGGACTGCACAGCCGCCGGGAGGGTCGAGTCGTACTCGAAGTGAATGAACACGCCGCCGTCCTTCTGCGCCGCTTCGACCGCAAGGACCTCGAACCTGTACTTGGTGAAGTCGTTGATGAGCCCCGTGATCTGGTCGATGATGTCTTCCTTCTCGAGCCGGGCGATCGCGTATCGGATGCTGGGAGGGGTCAACGACGCGCGCATACATGGAACGGTTCACGCACTCCCAGAAGGCGAATCGGATAGGAAACACGCCGGAAACGTAGAGCCACGCGTCTTTCCGCCCTGGTGGCTAGCATATAGGTTAGTTGCAGCTTCGTTCAGCAATGCTGCGCGCTCACATCTGGTATCGGCTGGTCCGGCAGTCCCTCGTTCCGCACCACACTCGTTGTGTCGTTCGCGTCCGAGGTCGCGAGCCGTCGTTGGAGGATCACTCGTCGCGCCAAAAGTGCATGTTGTCGTGCGAGTGGGAGGCGTCGTATCCCGACCAGAGGCCGGAGCATTCTTCCGACAGAGAACCGAAGGGAGACAGTGAGAGAACGAAGCAGGGAGGGAGCAGGAAAGGAACGGGTGGACTCGACGCGCGCTTGCTCGGCTCGCCAAGCCTCACCGGACGGAAACGGCTGATGCGCGCTTGACGTCACCCTTCACAAGGGTCCAGAGCAAGCGGAGCCGAAGTGGAAGCAGAATCTCCCGGTGGAAGAGTTCCGAAGTAGAACCACAAGAAGTTCAAAATATTGTATCCTTCTACTCCCTGCGAGGATCGAACTCGCAATCTTCGCCTCGCACCATAGTAGGAAAGCGACGCCTTGCCATTTGGCCAAGAGAGCTGACCAGTTGACCAGGCGTTTCCAAGAGATATGTGATTACAGCCTAACGTCTAGCACTAAGAACGGATTCCGTGAGCCTCCTGGTGGCTTCAAGATAGTCCATATCCTAGCTTCCCTCACACACACCGGATGCGCCGTTCTGAACAGCTACTCAGAGCTAACGCTTTTCCTCGGAAGTTAGGAAGCGGGCGCTTTGATGACTAAGCAGCCGTGAGAAAGCCTTGGCGGAGCGCGCTCACTGGGCGGAGATACGAATCGATATTCATTTCTAGGCACGTTAAGAATTAAGATATAACCATACAGAACGACCGCGTATGCTGTTTGCACTGCACATGAAAAGGCGTAATTGAAATGCGTCGGTGACGGTGAGAGTGAACCGAGTCGGACATGGGGCGGAGGGTCGGCTGCAGATCGGGACGGGCTAGAGACAATCAGACCGATCAGCCTCCTCCTCCGCAGCCAAGAAGCACAAAGCCTTGCCTCGCCTTGCCTTGCTCCGCCAAGAAGCACAAAGCCTTGCCTCGCCTTGCCTTGCTCCTGCCGTCCTGCCGCCGCCGTTGCCCCCGCACCCTCAACCATACACATGCTGCGACGACTACGGATACTATCTCTTGGTGCGCCGTGCTCCTCCTTCAGTTCCAAGCAGCAGCCCCGCTGACCATTCACGGGCAGTAACATGCACCATCTTCGGCGTCATCTTCTTGGGTCTCAGTTGCAACTTAATAGCATGGACCTACTTTGATTTCAGCGTCGGTGTTGCTACTGGCGTGCTGATGCTGGTCACCTGCCCGATCGTGTGCGTCCTACCTTCCAGAATATGGAGGGCGAAGAGCTGACACGATAAGGCAGACTGGCGATCGACTGGTGGCGGCGAGGCGTGTTCACGTCGTGGACCAGCGTAGAACTGGGGTGGATGGGCGTGCTATGGGTGCTCTCGCTGAGTACGCCTCCCACAACCCACGCGTCGTATTCTCGCTCACATCTCGTTTCCTGCAGCAACAGGCGCTCTAGCAATCAACGACTGGGAGTGGTGCAACCACTCCGTATGCGTTCCACAGCCGAAGGGCTTCGAGTACTGCTGTGCGTTCCTCCCTCTCCTTGCACGATGTACCGCAGCGCCTGACGTCCCCTCGCGCAGCCGGCCCTCCAAAGCCCGTATGCCGGGAGATGCAAGCCGTCGCAGGCTTCGCGATCATGACGACGGTGATCCTGTTCTCGCTCTGGTCATGGACGCTCTACGTCGGCATTCGCGCGCATATCGACGGTGACCCGTTCATCTGGACGTCCCCAGCGCACGAGTACGAGTTCATGCCGGTGTTCCCACAGCATAGGACGGACGGGAAGCGGATGCAGCCCAATGGCGAGTTTGGCATGGACGAGCGGCCTACGCCGGCCGCTACCCCGCTGCCTACCCACCAGGCTCTTCCACCTACGCAGCAGACACTCGCCGCGCAGGTTGTCCAGGGCGCACAGGCTGCACCGACCCCACAGGCTGCATCAACCGCACAGGCTCCACCACATCCACCATCTACACATGCGATGCAGCTTGAACCGGCCACGCAGTCTGTACCAACCACACAGACCGCACCGACGATACAGGTGGAGCCGTCCTCACAGGCATGAGCGCCTCAGCGGGCGATAGGCGGAGATATACTTTGACTACGGCCATGATATAATAGGCATGTCCCAGAGTGGCTGAGGGACCGATTAGGACTGTCATCCGAGTTTGACCAATTGTACAAGAGCACGCGTATTGGAACTGTACAGTACCGGGCCGTGCCCCGTTCCCTCGCTTGGTGGGCGGTGCGCTTCTGCTGTCGGTGCGGACGGCACTCCCGGTAGCGATGGTTTGAGAGTCCCCTGACACAGTCATCGAGGCGCATGCCTCTGCCAGCTGCGACCCCTGGCATCTCAGCTGCGTATCTGAATGGCATATGTCGGTCTTCCTTCAGTCCCGGTCTCGGCGCCCCGGTGCCCCTGTTGTTGTTGACTGGCGCATTTATCGGCCCGAGCCAGCAGACTGCGACCGTCGCTCGCAGCATAGCCCCTGTCAGAAGCAACGAGCTTCGTAAGAACAATGCGACAATGTATTCAAGAACAAGAACGGTGACGAATAAGCGCTTGGCATATCGCGGAGCATCAATAGCGTAGGAAGCAAAGTATTTAAATGGACCGTCCCGTTCAGAACCACAAGACCCTTGACACGGCCTGCGGGCGCAGGCGGAACGAAATCGCGGCTGCGACGCAGCCACCGTTTGATTATCAACGACCAACCACCGCGCTGTGTAGCTAGCCACTTCTGTCAGAATATTGGTAACCTCGCTGTATGTTTCACTGACGTGTCACCCTTTGGTCCACGTCTATCGGAGAGTGCCCTCCTAGTTACAAATACACCCAGCTCCCGTCAGGTCTAACCCGATTTACCCTCCCTCCATGGACAACGACAAGGGATACATCATGATCAAGGTGCCTGTACCTAACTTCAAGAGGGTGCGCTTCGTCAGTTTTGGTGCGAATCCAATTGTTAGAGCTGTCTATTTCGACTCTAACATCGAGTTCAGTGGTTCTGTTCTTCATCTCGGTCATCATTCTTCCCATCACGTCCAGTCTTACTACCCAGTCGCAAATCGACAATGCCGGCAGCTATGGAGTTGGGATCGCCACTTCCTCATTTACGTTGCTGGTGACATTCCTTGTGTGAGTTACAAAATCAACGTGAATGCATGTTACTCCATCCTTACTCGATCCAGACTCCTCGTGGAAGGGTACTGTCCCCCTACGTGGCTCTCCTCAACCGTGTTTGAGCTGACCTGGATGTTCCTGATGATTGCATTCTGGGGCGGTAAGCGGTTCCCAAATCTGGCCATTCTTCTTAAATTCAGACTTTCATTCCCAGCGACCGGCGGCATTGCAGCCAACTCAATCAGATATACTTGTCGAGGCATGTGCTTCAGATACTGGAATCGTACCCAGTGCTGTGAGACTCTTCTCCGCCTCCGCTCCCCCTTGGCATTCCAAACCACTGATATCTACTATAGCAGGGTTCTCGTACTCGATCTGCCAGCAGCTGCAAGTTATCACCGCTTTCAGCTGGATCGCCTTCATCATACTCTCCATTCTTTTTACGTGGGAGCTCGTTGCGGCCATCCGGGCCTCGAAGCGAGGCGATGGTTTTATCTGGACCACTGCGGTACACTCTTACCAGAGTGGTGTCATTCGTCTTGATACGTCTATCCCCGTTTTCAACGCGTCGATCGAAAGCCTTGCCAAAGGAAAGGCAGTCGATGAGGAGCGTGGCGAGGCACCTTCGCCCACTGCCGCCATTTAGTACGCACCCAACGTGTAGCTCTGGATTCATAGTACAGAGCTATCGGGATATGTATCGACCATGCAATTCAATCCGCTGTAGCGCGTTACTAGGTAGTCAAGTTGTCGAAAGGGGTCGAATCGGATCTCGTGTCTGCAATCGATGTTTTGGGCGCGACGAGACTGCGAATGAGTCTACTCCCATCCGGGATTCAATGCCGCAGGACAAAGAACCAGAATATGTACTGTACAGTACCAGAGCGAGCCAAGCCCTGCGGACGCAGCCGGAATGAAATGTCACAGCAGCGCGCAGTAGACTCATGGCCTCCTCACTCGCTGCCGTTGTGTCCGCCATTGGTGATCATGGTGATTGGTTTCCTCTTTGGGTCCTTGACGTGTCACAGGTTGGTCCCGTGGCCCGCCCATGAACTTCCGGTCCAAAGGTATATAGCGTCCCGCGGGAGTGAGCACTCGTCACAGAACCCGTTCCCTTTTCTGCGCAGCCAATTCGACACTCATGGCTAATCCCACGAGTAATTTCCTCGGATGGCCCTCCTGCGGAGGTAGAGTTCCTGGGATGGCCCTCCGGGCACAAATTCCCCCAGTGGCCCTTTGGCCGGCCCTAAGCAATGCACAGCGGTGCAGATGGACGTAAGAGAGAGAGAGGCATGCAAGGGTCGCATGCCAACGCGTCGTCTGTTGACACATTCAGACGCGTCTTCTGCATTCTTCTTGACGGCAACTTCTATACTATGGCTTCACTTGTCCAAGGGCAGCGCTTCAACACACTTGATGAAGCTTCCCATGCAATCACCACTTATTCATGGGGTTGTGGTGCCGACTGTTCCACTCCACGGCGCAATCTTCAACGGCTCAAGATGGTCTGCCAGTACGAGGACTGCCCATTCTTGGCTTCTGTCCGTGAAAGGCCTAAGGAGGGCTGCTTTGTACTTGTGACATTGAGGCCAGTGCACAACTGTCAAGGCAAAGTGAAGAAAGCCCGAGGTGCTACAAGTCGCAGCAAATACATCGATTATATGGTGAAGAACTCTCGGCTGCCATCCGAAAGTGCCACTCCTGGCCTCGTGCAAGATATGCTCCGGAAAGATGGGTTTGACATCAACTACAAAGCAGCATGGAGTGCTCAGCAACGCCTCCAATCACAAAGCAAATCCCAGCAGAAGACCGACTTTCAGAAGCTGCCCAACTATGTGGCTCTGATTCTCACGCGCGACCCAGAAGCAACCGTTGACCTTCGAATTAACCGACAAAATGATTTTCACTCTATCTTCATTTGCCCATCACCTGCAAAGAAGGCATGGCCTTACCTGCGTTGCTTCATTGCTGTGGATGGTGCATTCACCAAAACCGCCTTCGAGTATACTCTTCTCCTTGCGACAGCATATGATGCTGAAGATCGGATTATCACTCTTGCTTGGGCGCTTGCACCACAAGAAGATACCACCACTTGGTGCTGGTTCTTTCGACATCTTCGAGAGGCACTCCAAAATCTCAACTCTCCATTCACGGTACTTATCTCCGACCGTCAGAAGGGCCTTCTCAATGCGGTCTCCCTTGAGCTGCCTGACGTCACCGAGGCATTCTGTGCTCAACATCTATGCGCAAATGTGGAGAAAAACTATGGCCACAAAATCCGAGCTCGCTTTTGGTCACTTGTGAAGGCACAGACCAAA